TCAGATCTTAACTGTCCCGCCATATTCTGCGCCTCGGGCGGTTTTAGGTCGAGTCGTCACGACGAGTACTTCCTCAGACACTCTGCGCTTCCCAGCCTTCAGAGTTCGAGAGACAGCTCTAGGGTCATGTGCGCGTGCCCGATCGGGCATTGGGACGTTTTCCTGTTACAGAGGTTACACCCGAGCACTCAGGTGCTTCGGGGCCCTGTGCAGGAAAATCAGGTGACGGCTTCATCAAACGCGGTAGACCCGCATGTGCTACCTGTTTTTGCAGATGCCAGCGGCTTTTTGCAATCAGGAGATGTCTTGGCACCTGTAGTTCAGCTGTTAAATCCAAATATAGAACGAATAGAGCCCCTGGCAGACTATTGGACCACGTCGAGACGCCTGCCTGAGATCTCTACTACGTACTACTATGTACTATTCAAATTCAAGATGCTGACGTTAAAGTCCATTTTGTCTCAGGTCCAATACAGGGATTGGTTTGTAACTATCGATCTAAAGGATGCATATTTTCACATCCAGATCGTCAAGAGACACAGGAAGTTACTCCGGTTCGCTTTCGAGGGCAAAGCTTACCAATATTGCGTTCTTCCGTTCGGACTGGCTCTAGCTCCTCGAACATTCACGAAATGTATGGACGCAGCACGTCTGTCTCTCGCACGTGCGCAGTCATTACAGACTTGTCTGAGTCAGTTCAGGACAGGACGTCTAGTCCGCGTAGATTTATGCTTCAGACTGTTGGGCCTGATGGCGGCAGCATCCCCTGTAGTTCAGTTGGGACTGCTCCACATGCGGCCGTTTCAGTGGTGGATCAAGAGACAAAATATTTGACCTCTTTGTCATCCGCTCCGCAGGATTATGATGACGCACAGAGGCTTTTGCGCTCTCAGCCTGTGGATGAGACCCCATTTCCTTCAGAAAGGAGTCCGGCTGGGGGCGTTCTGTTGTTGCAAGACAATTGCGACGGATGCGTCCCTTATTGGTTGGGGGCAGTCCATCAAGGATGCCCAGTTTGTGGAGTCTGGACAGAGGTGCATCGGGGTTGGCACATAAATCGTTTGGAGCTGCTGGCAGTCTTTCTGGCACTCAGACGGTTCTTACCCCAACTTCAGGGTTATCATGTTTTAGTCAGGACGGACAACATGGCTGTGGTTTTGTACCTGAACCATCAGGGAGGACTACGTTCTCGCCCCCTGTGCAGGTTGGTGAGGTGTATTCTTCTTTGGGCTCAGACCAAGTTCCTGTCGATCAGAGCAGTCCATGTCCCAGGTCGCCTGAACTCAGGAGCGGACTTGCTCTCGAAGACAGAGTCTGGAGGCTGGGGAGTGGAGACTGCACCCCCAGGTGGTGAGTCTCATATGGCAGAGGTTTGGCCGAGTGGAAGTGGACTTGTTTGCTTTGAGCATGACTACGCATTGCCCGCTCTGGTTTTCCCTATTCCCTCTGGGAGTGGATGCCCTGGCCCACGAATGGCCCAGGACCAGTCTTTATGCTTTTCCCATAGGAAAAAGGTTGTGGGTTCTATTCCCAGGGAACACACATACTGGTAAAAAATGTATAGCCTGAATGCACTGTAAGTCGCTTTGGATAAAAGTGTCTGCTAAATGCATAAATTATTAAATTATTTTCCCCTGATCTGGTTGCTCCCAATGGTTCTGCTCAGAGTGGAACGTATACTGTTGGTGGCCCCGTTCTGGCCGACTCAGACGTGGTTCTCGGACCTGGTCAGCCTGCTAGCCGGCCCTCCCTGGGAGGTTCCCCTCAGGCACGATCTGCTGACGGGCATGATTTGGCATCCTCGGCTGGATTTATGGAGGTTATGGGTGTGGCCCCTGAGTGGAGTGCGTTAATGTGTTCTGGTCTCTCGGCTGAGATTACAGACACTTTATTAATTCATAAGTGGAGACTTTTTGCGTCTTGGTGTAGGCAATGCAATCTCGACCCAGTTCATTGCTCTATCGGCTCGGTGCTGGAATTTCTTCAGAGTCGTTTTTCTAAAGGGGTGGCCCCTGCCACTATTAAGGTTTATGTGGCAGCCATATCTGCTGAACACGTGCCTATAGGAGGTGTTTCAGTTGGACGTCACCCTCTGGTCTCCCATTTCATGCAGGGTTCGAGACGGCTTAAGCCTTTCCACCCGGCACGGGTTCCTTCGTAGGACTTATTGTTTTCTGACAGGCCTTCCATTTGAGCTGTTGGAGACTGTGCCAGAGAAACTGTTGACCCTCAAAATGGTTATTTTGGTGGCTTTATCGTCCCTTAAGAGAGTAGGGGATCTGCAGGCTCTTTCTATTAGCCCTTTGTGTATGGATTTTGCCCCGGGGCTGGTTAAAGTCTTACTGCGACCCAGGCCTGATTATGTTCCTAAGGTCGCTTCGACTCCGTTTCGCTCTCAGCAAGTGGTTTTAGAGGCTTTCTCTCCTGCTGATGTGGGATCAGGTAGTCTCTGTCCAGTGAGGGCACTGAAGATCTATGTTGACCGCACAGCCCAGTGGCGTGGATCTGAACAGTTGTTTGTGTGTTTTGGTGGTAAGAGTAGAGGATCTGCTGTCACCAAACAGAGGATGTCACATTAGATAGTGGAGGCTATCTCTTTGGCCTATGAGGCACGTGGTTTGGCTTCACCTCTAGGGGTGCGTGCTCATTCTACTAGAGCAATGGCTTCTTCTCAGGCCTTCTTTTCGATGGAAGATGTTTGTGCTGCGGCAGGATGGATGTGAGGATGGATCCTTGTTCCCGGGTCTTATCCGCTTGAGCAGATGCTTTCCCTGGTCTTCCAGCTATCTGAGGTATGTCAGGCGTTATGGTATAGCGTTCCCAAAGCGACCGCTGTCGCAGCATTGAAGTGAACCTATGAAAGGGAACGTCTCGGTTACGTATGTAACTTTGGTTCCCTGAATAGGGAACGAGATGCTGTGATGCCGGCCGTTCCTACCGTTGATAGCGCTTCCTTCGTCATGTAAAATCTGATTAAATAGCGCGTAGCACGCTGATATGAGCATACGTGACGTATGCGCAGGGCGGTGTTAAAGCGCTATTGGCCAATGAATTGGCGTGATGGTATAAGGGCTTCAGACATTCATCACACCGAAGGTGTTCCCATAGTGACTGCTGTCGCAGTATCTCGTGCCCTATTCAGGGAACCAAGGTTACATACGTAACCGAGACGTTTTGATGACACTGTTCAATGAAACATTAGCTGAGTAGTATTTATCATTAATACCATAAATATGGCTCATTTTAGAGGCATTGGGCCACATAATGGGACATTCCTTTCTCAACACTTTCCAACTATTGTAGAAATAGCTGCTTTCACAGTACTCTTGTGCTATATTTACTGTATCTATTAAGTTGTCTATTAAGTGCATTGATAAAAGCCTTAAAAGTAGTTTTACTTATTTGTTCTACAGTAAATCTGTGATAAAACACACACAGGTCATTCTAAGAAAACAGAACCATTGTCTATTTGTGTGCTACAGTATGTGTGATGCATAAGACATTTTGCTGTGCAGCTGCAGACAGGTCAAAGTGCCCATGATGACCCGTCCACTGCCGAAAGTGCCTACAATGGGCATGTGAGTGTCAGAACTAGAGCATTTAGCAAAGGAAGAAGGTTGCCTGGTCTGATGAATCAAGTTTTCTATTAGATCAGGTGGATGACTGGGTGTGTGTGCCTTGGAGAAGATCGTTTACCTGGAGAAGAGATAGCAGTAGGATGCACTATGGGAAGAAGGCAGGCCGGCAGAGGCAGTGTTATGCTCTGGGCAATGTTCTGCTCGGAAACCTTGGGTCCTGCCATTCATGTGGATGTTACTCTGACATGTACCACCTACCTAAAGATTTTTTCAGACCACATGCACCCCTTCATGGCAATGGTGTTCTCTGATGGCAATGGCCTCTTTCAGAAGAATAATGCACCCTGCCACACTGCAAAAGTTATTCAGGAATGGTTTGACGAACATGACAACGTTCAAGGTATTGACTTGGCCTCCAAATTCCCCAGATCTCAATCCAATTGAGCATCCATCGAATGCGCTGGACCAACAAATTATTCACGCAGGTTCCACCTTGCAGAACTTAAAGGATCTGCTGCTAATGTCTTCGTGCCTGATACCATAGGACACATTCAGGGATCTTGTGGAGTCCATGCCAAACATCAGAGATGTTTTGGCAGCACGAGAGGGACCTATGTGGCAGGTGGTTTTTGTGTTGTGGCTGATCAGTGTGAGTGTGTATATAAAATCAGAAAAAAATAACATCTCTTTTTCAGGATGCTGTATTTTAAAAATAATTTGTAAAGTCCAAATATGCTTTACAGAATTTTTTCTGGAAAACAATTATTGCACCTGTGGAACAGTTCTTAAGGCACTTAAGATTTACAGGTGGCAGGCAATTAAGGTCAGTTACAGTCCATGAGGATGAGATGCCCTTAAGTATTTAAAACAGCTGGTGGCTACAGAAGATACTGACTATTTTTAATATGGTCTCCCCCATCCCATTTATCCATATAAAAAAAAGAAATAAATGGCAACTTGGGGAACAATCTTAATTCAAACTTTGTAAAAAATGATTTAAATGCATTGAGTGCCGTTTATATTACACAGAATACTGAAATGGGTTCTGAACAGGGAAAGAAAAAATTAAGTGTAAAACAAGTTACTGCATTTTTCTTTAAAGCTCCATTTGCAGTTCTAGAAACTGACCTGTTCATTTAACTTGTATGAAACTTAAATTATATCAAAATCTGTTAAAGACAATAAAATGTAATTTGTATATTAACTTAATTTCTACAATATTTTGATGGCATTTTTTCCAATCATGATATGCTATAAAACTGTTTCAATCAGTCTGAATGCAGCAAAAACCATCCAGTCCAGGACACTTTTTTTTTTTTTTTTTTTTTTAAAGAATCACAAATGTTCAAGCAAGTCTTTACAAAACATTGCAATCCATTACATCAAATTTTTTTTTACTTAAAAAAACCAGATGGTACAAAAGTAAAACATTTCTGTCCTAAAGATAAAAAAGGAATTCAAGTCATGGAGTAGGTTGTTCTGAAGAATAATTACATGTATTTTTTCCCTCTTCAAATAGAAAACAGACAATCACTGAAAATGAAAGCCAAGATGAGTTTTAGAAACATTACATGCAAGTTCATAACTCCATATGTCCATGGGATCAGGTGTTTAAGGTACTGGTTTAAGTGTGTACTTAATCTCTGAGGATGTGAGTGCTAATAAAGAGGGACAAAGAACCACAGTCAGTGTTTATGGCTCCTGGGGTTTGACGCTGGGTTTTGTGTAAATTTTGTGCTCACTGCTCTGGGCAGAACCATTGGGAACATCAGTCTTGGACCTCTTGGATTCAGGAGGATTGCACGCTGGGTCACTGGGGGGAGATGGTCTCTCTGTAATAAACAAATATTTATAAATGACCGGGAAGACAATGTGCACAAATATACAAACATATAATTAATTGACATGATTCTTACACAAAAATCACCCCAAGTAATGACAGCAAAATAGGCACAAATAAGGTTAAATAAGGTCTTCGAGGCAAGTCAAAATGAGATGGAAAAACTAATGCTCTTCTAAAATGAAGAAAAAAAAACAAATTGTATGCGTATTTAAGCAAATACTCAATGTAAAAAAATATATATATAAAAAAATCTTTACATAAAAAAGCAAAACCTAAAAGAAAGAAACAAATGGGTCTACTAACCGTGCTTGGCTTTCTCAGTGGAAGATGGGGTGACAAAAGGAGTGGGGAATTTGGATACAATTGGAGTCAGTGAAATTCGTCTGAAAGAAAAGGACATATTTGATCTATAGTGCACATTTTTTTACTGCTCAGATCATGGATTAGTCTGTAACACTAAATCTACATAAATTCAGGGATACATGTATGGGGTGCCATTACAGTCAAACCAATATATTAAAGTTGCATAATTACTGACCATTTTGATGTCACAAACACTAACGTTCAAAAGTTTGCCTGAAAAAGTTTTTTTTTTTTATGCTCACCAAGGCTGCATTTGTTTGATAAAAAAAATGCAGGAAAAAAACAGTAATATTGTGAAATATTATTAAAATTGAAAACTACTCTTTTCTATTTTAATGTATTTGAAAATGTAATTTATTCCTGTTGTATCAGAGCTTAATTTTCAGCATACATTATTCCAGTCTTTAGTGTCACATGATTCTTCAGAAATCATTCAGATATGAAGATTTGGTGCTTAAGAAACATTTAGTCTTATCAAAGGTAAACAGTTTTAATGCTAAATATTTTTGTGGAAACTGTGGTATATTGTTTCAGGATTCTTTGAACATAAAATTCAAAAGAATAGAATAGAATAAAATCTTTTGAAACATGTGTTCTTACTGAATAGAAGTATTCATTTGTTTAAACAACAACCAAAAACAACAACAACTTACTGACCCAAAGTTAATATTAGCATTTGTTAAAAAACAAACAAACATGTAACATCAGATCATACCACAGATGTGCCGCCCTACCTAGGAGTTGGTCCTTTTGGAGTTGTGGTATATTTGGAGTTGAGGGGTCCAAGAGGAGTGCTGGGGGCTTTAAGAGGTGTTAGGGGTCCTCTGCTGGATCCAGGGGTGGAGGGAGCAGATTTGGGTGTGTTGGGGGCAGTTGCCGGTGATTTGGGGGTGCTGGGTTTGCCCCAGCCCGCCAGGGTATTGAGTGTGATCCTTCTGGGCTGAGGTTTGGTTTGTAGCGCTCGAGGTATGCGCTTCTCTTCTGGAACAGGTACGCTGGGGGTCTTGGAGTATGCAAGACCAGCAGATCCCTCTTTCTCCTTTTCCTGTGCAGATGTGTTGGCCTGGCGAGGGATTGGGGAAGCAGTCCTGCCATTGGCTGAGGGTCTCTTGCCTTTCTTCTCATTAGTAGAAGATGGGGTCACCATCTCCAGTGGAGGTCGCTCCTTCAGTGGAGTGCCCAGCTCCCCTTCCTCAAATGACACGAAGGAACAGTAGCCATCAGTGGATGAGACAGCCAAGAAGGAGCCATCACGAGACCTGTGGAACAATGTCAATAACAGCAAATGTGTTAGTCAATAATTGTTATTCCCAAAATTATTCTAGACTCTTGATGTCTGCATTTTCTATAACCTGAACAATAAGACTGGGTGGTCAATTGCCAAGGATTTCATCACAGATAAAGACCATCTCAACAGGCACAAGTGTTTCAGGCTACCCTCTTCTGTATGCATTTGTGACTCACGAGAAAAGACAGGGTTTGGTTGCATTGGCTACATATAAATTATTGTGAATTTTCCAATAAAGCAGCAACAATGGCCATGATTTAAGTAAAACACAAAAAAGGAGATGGGGTCAAAGCCTGAAACATTTTTTTTAAATTAAATAAATTAAATTAAACAGCACCAATATCACCACAAATTAGACATTTGTGGTGAAAAAAAAAGAAATCCTCTGCTGTCATACAAAAACAAATTCCAGCATATTCAGTTCAACTTCAACAATCAAGTATGAAAACCAATTCTAGTACACCCCAAAAACCAAATCGAGACTTCGTAAAAAGGTCCCCTTTATGGTTCTGCCAAGGCCATTTCAGTCCCCTGACATGAACCGCAAGAAACCTTAAGAGGAGAGAGTATCAACATGGACTTGGGAAACTGAAGGATCTGGAGAGATTCTGTACGGAGAAGTGGTCTGATCGCTTGTCAGGTGTTCTCCAAACTCATCAGGTATTATAGTTGTAGTTATAGAGTTGTTATCTTATCAAAAGGATAAGGAGGTTGCACAAAGCATTGAATAAAATGGTGCCATTAATTGTGGCCAATGTGCATTAATAAAAAAATTATAATGAGATTTTAAAATAATATAAAAAATTTAAATACGTAAAACTATATAACATTTAATAAAATTACTATTTTATTATTGACAGTTTCATGAAAAAGATTTTTATAGACTCATTTGTATGTGACCAAATACACTTGGTCATTTCAGGCTACCATAAACGGCATGCAACATTGGGACGCATTTTGTTGACAGAAGAATCTTCCTCCTATCACCATGTAGAACAAACCACAATTTAAAGGATTAGTTCACTTCTGAATTAAAATTTCCTCAATTTTCTCACCCCCATGTCATCCAAGATGTTCATGTCTTTCTTTCTTCAGTCGAAAAGAAATTAAGGTTTTTGAGGAAAACATTGCAGGGTTTTTCTCTATGTAGTGGACTTCAGTGGGGTTCACTGGGTGGAAGGTCCAAATTGCAGCTTCAAAGCATTCTACACGATCCCAGATGAGGAAGAAGGGTCTTATCTAGTGAAACAATCGGTCATTTTCTAAAAAAAAATATTACAATTTATATACTTTTTAACCTCAAACGCTAGTCTTGTCTAATTCTGCGTGAACTCTGTGCATTCTGGAGTTTTTCGACCTACCCTAACTGTTTCGAATGGGACTGCACAGAGTACACATGCACATTGCAGAGCTACACAAGACAAGCATTTGAGGTTAAAAAGTAAATAATTTGTATTCTTTTTTTTAGAAAATGACCGATCGTTTCGCTAGATAAGACCTTTATTCCTCGTCTGGGATCGTGTAGAACGCTTTGAAGCTGCACTGAAGCTGCAATTTGGACCTTCCACCCAGTGAACCCCACTTAAGTCCACTATATAGAGGAAAAACCCCGGAATGTTTTCCTCGAAAACCTTAATTTCTTTTCGACTGAAGAAAGAAAGACATGGGGGTGAGTAAATGAGGAAATTTTAATTCAGAAGTGAACTAATCCTAGTCATGTAAAAACAATACACCAACAAGTCTGTGAAACCTACCAGCTGAGATCACTCAGTGTGTGATAGTGGAAGTTAGACACGTATCCAAACGGCAGCGTCTGTTGTGTGTCATAAAAGAAGATTGAGTCTTCTGATGCAACCGCAAACACCAGCCGATATGGCAAATTAAACGTGTTTGACACTGGCTTCAGTGAACCATCTGTGGAACATAAAAGAGCAGTACTGTCTTTCCACTGCACACATGTGACATAAGTAGAACAATAGTTTGGGAAGGGTTTTTGTGTGTACCTTCAGCTCTTTTTGTCCTCAGCTCATAGTACACTGGGCTGCAGCGCACAGCCAGTGTGGCTTTGGATGGACAGGGCAGATGAGCTATGGGCCTGATTCACAAACATGTCAAACACTAAGCATGATTACACAAATCAAGACTGTGTCGGCAGTTGGGCTGAGTGTTGAAAACTAGATTCATTTATCAAAAAATACAGGAGTCCCAACTATTTTATGGCTTATACCACCGCTCTAAGATTTGTAAATGTTTTTGAAAAAATCTTATAATGTTATGCAAGAATGTGGTTATTTGAGTAAAAACGCATTAAAACAGTAATATTGTGAGATATTATTACAATTTAAAATAACTATTTTCTATTTGGATATTTACAATTTCAGTTCAATCCTGTGATAGCAAAGCTGAGTTTTCCGCAGCTATTACTCCAGTCTTCAGTGTGTCATGATCCTTCAGAAATCATTCTATTATGCTGATTTGGTGCTCAATGTTAAAAACAGTTGTGCTGATTAATATATTGTGGAAACCGTGGTACATTTAGATCAATTTAATGCATATTTGTGGAATAAAAGTTTGCATTTCTTTAAAAAAACAAACAAACAAACAAACAAAAAAAAAACACTTACTGACCCCATGCATTAATCATTTGAACGGCAGTGTATATGTGATTTAACGCATAGCTTTACAATTTAACATACACATGTATAAAGATTAAGCTTTCAAGGGAAATAAAAGCCATCAAACAAAACACAAACCTCTTAAAGCTTTTTCTGGAGAATACGTATGTTGTGTTTGTGACATTCTCTCCAGCCTCGACACACCCAGCTAAAAATAAAACGAGTAAATAAATAAAAATATTCCTTATTAACTACACAAGGAATGTACAAGTAAATGGACACCAGGCCAAAAAAACCACACTGTGAATGTGTTGAATAACGTTCTTAAAAAGTATATTAAAAAGTTTGTTATAATAACTACTCTCACATACATAACATAAGCATACACAGTATACACACATGTAAAAAAAGAAGAAAAATGTGTACCTGGTGCAAGGAGGAATGACCCATCTGGTGTGAATGTGAGACGTCTGAAGAACGATCTCATGCTGTCATCGTGGAACATTCTGTAGTTCTTCACCTGTACAAAGGTGAGTAATTTAAACCACAACAATAA